CCATGGGACCAATAAGTAACATCATGATAAACTGAGAAAAGATTGAAGTTGTCAAAGACTTTATTTTGCTTAGATCCACCATCAACATTTATGGAAAAAACAGTCAAGAAATTAAACAAATGTATTGCATTAGGGAAATCTGCTGTGCAAGACATCTTTAAAGTGTTGAAGAGCAAAGATGTCACTTTGAGGACTAAAGTGTACCTCACCTAAGCCAGGGCAATTTTAATAGCCTCATTTGCATCTGAAAGTTGAACAATGAGTAAGGAAGACTGTAAAAGAATTGATACATTTGAGTTATGATGTTAGAGAAGAATGTCAAAGGTACCAAGGACTGCCAGAAGAACAAAGAAATCTGTGTTGGAAGAAATACAACCAGAAAGCTCCTTAGAAGCCAAGATGACCAGACTTTGTTTCTCATACTTACATTATCTGCAGGTTTTTTATTGTTTCTAATTTTTCATTTAGTTTGTCTATTTATTCTTGTAGTGTTTTCTTGAATTCTTCTAAAGCATTTTCTGTGTTTTTGCTTTCATCTGCAGTCTTCTTGATCTTTCTCTCAATATGTTGAGGGTATATAAATATCGTTCTTTTGAATTGTTTCTTAGGTAATTCCAATATCTTTTCTCCCTCAGAAATGTTTTTCTGCCTCTACACCTTGGTCATTTGTTTGGGCCACTCTGTCTTGTTTCTTTGTGTGAACTGAACCTGTCTGTGGTTTCTGAGACATTGTGGTGTCATTGTATTTATATTTGATGGTTGTATATTGGTGTGGTCTTAGGAACTCACAACCTGTCTCTTGGTGTGTATATTTAGAAAGTGGAAATGTGCACAGTCACCATTCATGCAGTTCAGTTTAGGGTGGGATTGTCTGGTGTTGACTGAGGTCTATTGTTGATCGGATAGTATAGAAGCTGGTATTGACTCTTAACTTGTGAGTGGGGCTGCAGAGGACATGGTTGTGCCTGGGCTATATGGGCATGATTGCTGTCTCCCACTGGGTAGGACAAGAAAATGAAACACAAAGAAAATAAGCAAACAAAAGAGAAAAAAGGAGAGGACAAAAATACAAGCAGCAACAAAAAAAGAAATAAGTAAAATAACTAAAAAAGAAAAGGAAAATAAAACCACGGAAGAGAATAATGAGAGAAAATAAAAAGGAGGAGAAAAAACACTAAACAAAACTGGGAGAGAGAATATGAAAAGAGAGAGCAGAGAATAGTAATGAAAAATTAAGGTGATTTAAAAAAAAAGTACAAGAGAGAAAAAAGAAAAAACTGAAGAAAAGAAGAAAGAATCAAAGTGGAGATAGGAAGGATAAAAATCAAGGTGAGAGAAAGGGAAGAAGGATAAGAAAGAAAGAAAAAAATAAACAAAAAAACTAGTGCAGGAGCTGGACCAACAGAAGAGGAAACTTTAGGTGGCATTGCCAGCTAATCTACTCAAAAAGTAGAAGGGGAGAGGGTGAAAGAGAAGCATTCTGAGCCCTAAATGGAGTTCCTGTGGGTCTTAGTGTTGTCTTTGATTATGGAGCTGAATCTAGACGAGGTTCTTGAGACCCTAAAGGTAGCTGATATCAGGATCCATAAGACCCAGAGGGCAGCTGGGAGCTGAATAGCTGGTTATGTGACATTGCTAATCTAGGGCTGATGGTACCATGCCTATGGTAACCAGGGGAGTGTGGAGAACATGAAAGAAGCAGTCACATCTATTTTGTCAACAATGTGTCTGTACTGCCAGGTCATCATCTATTTCCAAAGTTGCATGCAAAAGTTCAAGATGGCAGCATTGAATTAGGCCAGCTGGGCATTCATCCATCTTTCTCCTTTCCCTTGCTACCCCCGTTCAACTTTTTCTATTATTCAATCCACTTCTCTAATCTTTCTTCTGACACTCAAAGTTCTAGGATTATTATTTGTATCTGTTTCATTTGGTCTCCCATATCTTTGTTGTAGAAAGTCTGTATAGTGTTTTGCCAGGTCTGCCATCCTGCCAGATGTCCTCCCATAAAGCTGTCCTATTAGCTTCAGTCTTGCTTGAAAGCGGTGGATGGAAAGGGGCAGTAATTCACCGGGTAGAATGTTATTGTTGTTAAGTTCCATTGATTCATTTCTGACTCATAGTGCCCCTGTACAGGGTTTCTGAGGAGCGGCTGGTGAGTTTGAACACACATCAACTTGGATGATGGGGAAAGCAATATACAAAAAGAAAGCAAGAATCAAAGTGAGTAGAGGTTGCTGCTGTTGTTTGGTGCTTTTCAACTGGTCTCTACTCATAGTGATCTGATGCACAACAGACCAAAACACTGCCCAATGCTGTACCAACCTTACAATTGTTGCTACATTTGAGCCCATTGCTGCTTCCACTGTGACAATCCATCTCATTGGGGGGTCTTCTTCTTTTCCTCTAATCCTCCATTTAGCCAAACATGATATCCTTTTCTAGGGACCAGTCCCTCCTGATAATGTGTCCAAAGTATGAGAGGCGAAGTCTGACCATACTGGTTTCCAAGGGGCATTCTGACTCTATTTCTTC